AAACATGTTTGTACCGTTCCAATCAGTGTTTGCACACTCACGGTCCAACACGCACATGTTTGTTGCTTCAGAAAGCGAGCGAAGCAGGCGTCACACTCACAAATTATGGAAATGACACAGACCAAAAGCACGTCTTAAGTTGCGTTTTTTTTTTTTTCGTAAAGGGCAAGCGAACTAGAAGCCGCAAAAGCAAGTAACACGTTTTTTTAGCAAGTTTGCCGAGCACACGTGCTCGTGCAGCGAAAGTGCCGTTCAAGGCGACATGAAGTATAATAGATATGTTGTACTGGCTCGTGCTCCTCTGCGGCCAAAGCGTTCTACTACGATCTCTCGACTGCGGATCGTCACCGACACGGGACTCTTGCTTTATCTTCAACATTCGAGGCTTGTCAAAAACATACTTAATAAATACAAAAAATAGAACATGTTTTCAATCACTTGAGGTTGGCAGAAAAACGTTGCGGACAATTTTATTTTTTTATTTTTTTAATAATTAGGTTTTTCCAAGAACAAAAATCACTCGAATCATGCATAAAGAAAAACTATATTTCTAAGCCTTCCATCAGTCGTGAAACCATACAAAAAATTTTAAATTTTCTTTAGCGTCTTTTTGGAAGTGTGTTGAACGTCGAACATGAGGGGTAAGTGTGAATGAGTCATATACCTTACACCGTAGGAGGAATCCACATTCCGAGGGCCAGCCTAAAGGAACCTTAGGTCCCTTTGCCATCGGCGAATCAGGCCACGCTCGGAGGACAGCGAACTTCTTCGTCGACGACCATAAAATTTGCTTCCTCCATCTGGAGGCAGCTTTAGGATCGTGTCAATGGAATACGGTGGTACAGACAGGAGTGTGTCCCCAGTTAGAAGCTCCTCTGGTAGTAGTCCAGGGGCCCTAATGTGCATGACGGGGCCAAGGAATTGGGACATCGCCACCTGCTGATATTGGTCAGCTGTGCGATGGCGATGTCCTCGAGGCATGTAGATTAGGGCCACAAGTGGCTCTGCGGACGTCCTCACGATCGTTCTAGGAATGTCCCACGGACGTTCACGTGAAATCTCTACGGCCGGGGAATCGCGGATACGCACTTCCCCCTCTATTCAATTCAACGCTGTTTTCTTCTTTTTTTTCTTTCGTGCTTACCAACATTTCAAAAGTCTTTTCGGTAAAGCACCACGCAACACACATACACATGATAAAATGTATACAACTGCCTAAATTCATAGACGTGCCTAAATTCATACTCATATTTAAATTCACACGTGCTTAAATTTCGTTGTTGTTTTTTTACACGACAGAATTGTGCAAAAAATATCAAAACCGGCGACCTTCGTATTTAAAACATGTCATATTCGCGAGCAAAGCGTTTTCAAAATCTGAAGTAATCGAAAAAGTAGCAATTACTTTTTTCAAGTAACAGTCACTTACGTTTCGTCTCAAGTAATCAAGTAATCTGATTGAATACGTTTTAACTAAGACTAACAGTAATTATTTCATTTCATTTATTATGTCTCTCAGGGCCCGAAGACATTACAGAGAGCAGTGGGGCATAGTAAATAGAACAAAGCAAATAACAACGAAAAGGCAAAAAATGGACAAAATAACTACTAAACATCACTTAACACGTTAGTAATGGCACTGGACATGGAATCAAACAAATTATAATGAAAAGGCCCAAAATACAAAAAAAAATTACTACTGAACATCATGTAACAGATTAGTAATGGCAATCTTAAATTTATCTGAGGCAGTGATTGTGACAATGGCTGCGGGAAGGCGGTTCCAGTCAATCGAGGTTTGAAGCTAAAAAGAGGCATTAAAGGTAGATGTGCTGCAATCAGGGATCTCAACTTTTAATTGATGATCGGTGCGTGATGATATGTAAAATGGTTCAGAAAATAGTGCTTGGCGGAGAGTAGGGTTAGAGTGATATATCTTATGGAACAAGCATAGACGGGATATCTTTCGACGAAGAGAAAGAGTGGGCAAGGATAGAGATGCTTTCATTAAAGTGGTGCTAGCTGTACGATGATAGTTAGAAAGTATAAAACGGACAGAGCGGCTTTGAATTTATTCTACGGCATATGCAGGGGTGATACCAGGGTTCCAGATTGAGGCGGCATATTCAAGTTTAGGGCGAATTAAGGTTTTATAAATTAGAAGCTTTAATGAAAGAGGGGCAAGGAAAACGTTTATTTTGATGTATCCTAATAATTGATTAGCGTTTTTCGTGGCATAGTCAACATGAATATTCCAGGAAAGATCATTTGAAATGTGAACACCGAGGTATTTATAGGAGGACACAGGAAGGAGGGTAGAGCTATTGATGGAGTAGGAAGGGCAAACGTTAATTTGACGAGAGACACACATAGATTTACATTTCGAGATATTAAGTTCCATAAGCCAGTTTTTGCACCATTGGGTTACATTGTTAATATTAGTCTGAAGAGCAGAAATGTCGGAGTCGTTAAGGATTTCTTTGTAAATAACACAGTTGTAAATAACACAGTCGTCAGCAAGAAGGCTAATAGAAGAGGAGACACGGGTGGGGAGATCATTAATATAAATAAGAAATAATAGTGAACCAAGCACAGAACCTTGTGGCACACCGGAGTTGACAGGCGAGTATGGAGAATTAGTTCCGTTGACGTGGACAAACTGAAGACGGTTTGTCAGAAAGGCGCCTTGCCAAGCGAGAATGTATGGGCAGATGTTAAGGCTACTAAGTTTATGGAGAAGAAGGGCGTGAGGAACTTTGTCAAAAGCTTTGGAAAATCAAGGAATGTGCAGTCAGTTCTGGAACCCTGGTCAAGTGTGACATAGGGATTATGAGTAAAGGTAAGAAGTTGGGTTTCGCATGAGTAAAACTTCCGAAAACCATTTAAGGAAAGCGTTAGAATCCAGAAAGTTAGCAAGTTGAGAGTAGAGTACGTGTTCAAGAATTTTGCATGGTATACTCGTTATGGAAATGGGATGATAGTTAGATGGATTTTGTTTATCGCCACCTTTGTGTACAGGAACCACCTTCCCCATCGTCCAATCCAATGGCGAGACACCATGTTGAAGTGACTGAGAAAAATCTTGGACAGGATAATGCTAAATGTATTTTAGTGTTTTTCAAAAATTTTGTGTTAATGTTATCAGTACCTACCGCAGAAGACATTTTTAGGTTATCAATAGTCTTAGCGATTCCTTCACTATCTACAACAGGATACATAGGCAAAAAATCACAGGCGGTAAATACAGGGAAAGAACTAACTGGAATAGAGAAAGATTTAGTAAACACTTCGCTTAAAACGAAAGAACACTGATCATTGGATAATTCATCTCCATCAGCATCCCTAAGCGTTATATTGGAAGAAAAAGAGGGATTAATAACCGTAAATAATAGTCTATTACTTCTTTCTTGAAAAATGTGTGCGAGACCATCCACGACTATGATATCATAACCCAGTGATCATGCTAAAAGTTAATACTGGGTGTCCCAAGGAGCGTAGGCTCTTCAAATCGACCGCGAAATTCGGTTACGGCTTTGTGCAGCATTGCCCACAGTTGGTGCTTTTTTTTTTCTTTCTTTTTTTTGTAAGATTTGCAAAGAGCGAGCTTACCTGAGGAAGAAGTAAATAAAGAAGAAGGCTTAGCTCCTACGGAAACGCAGCGAAGCCACTGGTCTTTAAACAAAACGGCGCCGCTTCGCCAACTGACGCCAACGAACGAGCACACGGCTCCGAGAGCCGGCGTCTTTAGCAGACAATCTTCTCGGACTTAAAAGCGGCGCGAGCTTTTCTGATATCAGTTGCGAACGCATTATTTTATCATCCTTACTAATCAAACATATTGAATGGACACATAATCAAATAAAAAAATTTTTTTTTTTTTTTTTTTTTTTTTGGGGGGGGGGGGGGGGTATTTACGTTGTCTGTTTTGCAGTTCCTTCTTATTACCGCGCCTGTTTTTGTTTCTGCGACTGTCGCCGCCTGCGGAACGCACGCCGTTTTTGAGTCGAAACGATCGCCTGCTAAAGACGCCGGCTCTCGGCGCCGTATGCTGGTTCGTTGGCGGCAGCTGGCGTCGCGACCGCTTGCGCCATCTCTTGACTCGCGTGCGAAACGGCGCCGTACTGTTTGAAGACCGGTGAGGTGGCTTCGCTGCGTTTCTATAGAAGCTAAGTCTTTTTATTTCTTTACTTTTTCCTCGGGTAAATTTTCTCTTTGCGAATTTTACAAAAAAAAAGCACCATCTGTGGGCAAGGCTGCACAAAATCGTAGCGCGATAGGTTAAGAAACCGAATTTTGCGGTCGATTTAAAGAGCCTGGCCGCTCCTTGGAACACCCAGTATATAATTTAGAAGAAAAGTTTTAATACATTTTCGGCCGCTTCGGAACGGCGGGGCATAGATGCGTACATCGGTGATCTCATCGATGGTCCCGATGGGTCCATGTTGCTGGTGACGCTTTAATATACAAGAAGCAAGAAAATATCACTTTCAAACTCTTTATTTATTGCTTTTATAGCTTTAGTTTGTCCTTGATTGGTAGAAACACCGGCGTCGCCCATTGTATGAAAAAAAGTGAAGTTGACAAGCGCTCGAATGACTTCATGTCGTCGCGTCAAAACGAACACGCCCAATCGTCTGCTTTCTTTTTCCGATCTTCTGTAGCTCTCTTTTCTTTTTTTCTCCTACGACTACTTATGCCAGAGCCCAGGTTTTGCCGCGTTCTGCTCTCGTCGTTAGCCTCCTGGACCATGCATAGGGACTATACTCACAAAGTGTCAGTGGTAAAACGGACGGGCGCCTTTGCGAGGTTCCGGTGGTCATCGAAGTCTATTTTATGGATTCATTTTTTTTTTCTTTCTCAGCGATGATGTGCCGCTGCAAATGACATAAAATTCCTCAGTTATTTTGAGTTGTGCCTGAAAAAAATAATGAGTAGGGGTAGCTCTGGGTGGCCAATTCTTGAGCGGGCTCATGAACGTGAGTTTTTTCTCTGTCCGACAGGTACGGCGTGGATGCACTCATCGAAGCTCAGGACATCGTCTTCACGAACCTGACGGATAAGGCGGTGTACAACAAACGGGTCCGGCCCGCCTACTCCACCAGTAAGCACTTGCCCGCAATACTGGCCTATACTCTATTCTCTTCCACACGTATCCTGACAAGCAATGAACAGAAACCCAACCGTTAACCCTGAATATTCGATGACAGGTTCAAAACTCTCTTCAGCCATCTCCTGATGTCGTTAACAACAATCATCTCCTCTTTAAGGCCTATTATCGCCTCGATGGATGCCGAGCGTGGGACAGCGCCTTTGAAAAATAAAAAAAAATAAAAAACGGTCCCTTGCTTTAGAAGTTGTTATCGGCGGTCGTGAATCTGAAGCGTAGTTAATTACATACCCAATTAGAAGAAACGAGCCGTCTTTAAAAGCCTTTCAACAACTCGAAGAGCAGCTCAAACTGGCGCGCGTGCATCTCATGACGAAATGAGACACTCGAAGCGTTGTGCTCGCTCTCGTATCTTCGCTCACACGTATGGTGAAACAGATTGGAAGCGTAAAAGTATAGCAATGCGAGGCTCTTGCGAACGACCTAAGAAAGCTCCCCTACTAATTTCGGTGCATGCGCCGTATGCGTCAGCAGATTTGCAGCCTGTGGCAACGCGTGACACTCAAGGGAGAGGCTCCACACCCGACTTGCAAGAGAGCGTTACTCGCCACTCAGTTCGAACGCGCCACTTTCATGACGTCACAAAAAAAGAAGAGCCTGATTTTGTGGCGATTAGCGATCACGAAAACAAAAGCAAGCTCCGCTTAATTCGCAACTTTCAGCGATGGTGGTACCGTGGTGTGAGAATCCCGCTCCCTAACTTCTGGGTGATCGGCTTCACAGTAAAGGTGCTTGCTAAGAAAAGCCCGTGAGTCTGCTTTCCCGCACAACGCTTGGAGAGCCAATCAGCGCAACTTACGGAGGCAGTTCAGCGAATGACAATGCGGAAACATATGTTTAGACCAAAAAACGCAGTCAGAGTTGTGACATTAAGCAATGCAAGCGTGACGTTTTGCATTGCTTAATGTCATAACTCAGACTGCGTTTTTCGGTCTAAACATATGTTTCCGCATCGTCATTCGCTGAACTGCCTTCGTAAGTTGCGCTGATTGGCTCTCCAAGTGTTGTGCGGGAAAGTAGACGCACGGGATTTTTTTAGAGTGTAGTACAACTAGAATTACTTACGCGTCGCAGACCCCGCCTCGTACTGCTGTTCTACGACGATCATTCAGATAACAGCCATTTTGATAGGTCGTCTTCCCATAGGTTGTGCAAGTTGCGAATACGCAAAGCGCCTCGGTGAAACGGAGATTAAACGAAGCGGACCTTCTTTTTTTTTTTCGGAAAAAGAGGGAGGGGGCGCAACTCCCTCCCCCCTTCCCCCTTCCCCCTCCCCGAACCTTTGACTTGTACCACAGGGAAGGCTACGAGCGCGAGTTTTTTGCTCGAAGATGCACCCCGGCTGCATGAACTCTCGCGCAGCATGAGCCACTGTCAGAGCAACGTGCCCGGGCCTTCGCTGGACCGAGTGAATGCTCGTGCTGTTTTTAAATGTCCGCAAAGGGCGGCCTTGAGTAAAGGGCCCTTCGAAAGAGCACGCACTGCAGCCTGAAATCTTGTTATCAAGGGAGCGCTCGAGGACGAGGGGTTTAATTTATCTGGCTTAACGAGGCACTAATAATGATAAAAACATGCTCATTATCAGCCACTAATGGGAGTTCGACTTACGCCGCGAAGTGAGGGTGGCGACTGAGACTAAGTGATTGGTCCATTTGTGCACTTGTTTCCGTTCATTCTTGCTAATATTTGTCAATGCGGTACGCTACTTACAAAAAAATGCAAAAAGATGAAACGCGTCGCCGATGAGTCGACTAGCAAGCAGAAGCCGCATCGACTTTAATCCTGCCCTCGTTATCTCGAGCAAACAACCCAATACGGATGAGGGGGCCGTAAAGCGAACTCCCCATTTGGCTCTTCCGATGATGCCCTTTAGTTTATTGCTTGGATTAACTCAGGTTTACCGAGAGGCGACCGGGCCAGTTGTAGGGCGGGATTTAAACAACTCCCTGCAGAGTGATGCGTGCAAGTCACCTCAAATTTCGGGCCGTCTATTTACGTATGCAGTGTGCACGCTGGACCTTCAGCACGAAGGCGCCGCAGACACCATTTTCATCATCGTCCTCTTCTGCAAACGCCAGGGATGATGACCGCGTATGTGCGCAGCCGGAGCAGCGTCACACAGGCTGAAAGATTGTTCTACGGGAACCGGAGTTCAAACCAGACAAAGCAATACTACCTAGAAGACAAGGCCTGCCCAATGACGTCATCAATAGTGGATCCCAAGCGGAAAACACGCTGAAGCTCGACAAGCGCCAGACGCGTCCGTCTTGACGTCGCCACATGTCGTTCTCGTTGTGAGTCGCTGCGAGATGCGTTGTTGACGACACTGACGCAAGCTAGGCGGTGGATCCACATTAATGACGTTTGGGAAAGGGGGAGAGCTCAAACCTTGTCCTCTAGGTAGTGTTGGACAAAGCGGTCGACCTTTGCGTGCCAGCAACATCTTCCGTCATTTCACAAATCGGGTGGTAACAAAATCGCCTCCCCACGAAGTCACCCCTATCGTGGAACTTTACTGCTGGAGGCACCATGCAGAGCAGTTGTTCGTTCCATTCCAAAGACATATTTGTTTTGTTCGAATCTTAGGTGCGTTTCTAAATTTCCGCAACTCTGTGCATCTACAATCCCGAATCTTCAGGTTGAAACTGCTGTAGGTATAATTTGACGGTCGCAACAGGGTTCATGAACAGGGGTCTCAAGACCATTCCAATAATCATGCGCACTGCAATCTTTCTATACTGGGCTGTGGAAGACGTTCTGAGCATCCGGGCAGACTGTGGAATACCACTGACTCGACATGTTTCGCTCGCGGGAAAGTCACTAGTATATGCGTTTCTTTTCAGACCTACCAGTGGTCGTCAACACCAGCATCGTGTTGTACAGCATGGCGTCTACGAATGACTTACATACGGTAAGCTATCACTCATAGCCGGTGCTTTCCGGAGCTGCCACCTTTGCTCTTATTAAATTTGTTCGTATACTGTTAGCGCCCCGAGGCATTATCAAAGAGAGTTGAAGTAACCAACTTAGGTAATAAGAAAAAAAGATCGCATTTCCAACTATAGTTTTGATAAAGCATTTTTAAAATCAGTAGTACTACTATTTGTGGCGCTGGATACGGATACTGAGAAGGCGATTTCAGTCGGGAGTCGTACCATAGTACCAGGTTATGGCCCATAGCATGCAGCGGTGCTGACATGGATTGAATTTGAATATAGGAATCTGACCGTGCCCTGATGACGTATGGGATAACTCCAGCTGCAGTATCGTGCTCACAACGGTGGGGATATTGGAAGTGTATATTGTGAACGGGACGTAAACGAGAAAACTCTCGGTGCAAGAAGAGAGAAGGCAATGACCCGCTTCAGATGCGATGGTAACTGCGAAGAATAAAACGCAGGAATCTATTTTTGGACGGTCTTCAAAGGAAGAACTTATGGCTTTTGCTCGCATCATTAAAAACAAAAACAAAAATAATTTCGCAATAATAAAACAAGGCACCGTTTAATTTTTTATTTGTATTTTTCCCGTAACATGAAGCCTCGAGAAATGCGGTCGTTCTGGCCACCGTGTAACTTTGCGCGAACACTCGCTCATTCAAGATCCTCTTGCAGGGATCTGCGCCTTTACGAACTACTACGACTGAGGACAACTCATACCCATTACTTCAGCTTTTGTCCTTTCTACACTCTATCCTTGGATGGAAATACAGATTGATTAGTCTAAGAAAACTACGCGCCTTCTTGGCGATGTGACTGCCGCTATACAGCTAAGGTAACCTTGCGTCTATACCCACTTATCATTTCAACCAGAGCTCGGTGTTCCCACGTAAACACGCGCCCTCGCCTCCTTCTTTCTCTCAGTTTCTCGCCGTATTGAACCAAGAATGAACCGCGAGGGGGTATTCAACTGAAAGCTCAGTTTCAAGAATTTAAAAAGCCGAATTACTGAAGTGAGTATGCGAAGGCAATTAAGCAAGGAAACACCCAAGAGAAAAACGGCGCAACTTCCGGCGACATTTCGCTAACACACTCTAATATTCTTTTAGCAGTGCGTATACACGTTTCGCACGGCTAAACCAAAACTGCCTCCACCAAGGTTTGTACAATGATGTCGCACGTAGCCACCAGCACGTGCAAACTTTGAGACTGTCGCATCAGCGTGAAAACGTGTCCGTGAGACTGGAGGTACTGCGGACAATTGCACAGGTGGCCCAAATAGCTATTTCATTTTTTTTTAGTCGGTGACCATAAGCGGTCATTCGCCGCGCTAATTCAACGAAAGTAACTGGATCCCGCAAAAGTAGCGCCATCTTGGTTCGTGGAAAGAGAAGTTTCTCTTTCACCTCTTCCTTCAAGGTGAGCCGATTCAAATTCCCGGCGACAGGTTTCTTTATGAAGACATTTCTTGCACATCGAGGTTTTGTTATTCACACACCGGCCAAACAAACGCATATCTTCAAACTGCGACCACATGCGGCGACGGTGCTTGGCGGAATCGAAAAATAATTTCGTTGTCTCAAAATAAGCAAGAAGAACAATATCATTGTAAGCGATCTGGATAGATAAGCACGCCTGATAAACTGATTGCATTCAGAGTGCCAAAGACGCTTATATTGGCGAGGAACGCTTTCAGTACAATGACGCTCCATGGCGATCTTGGCGCGACCGGTAAAGAACAACCCTTTCGAAGCTTGGAAGATTTCAAAGAACCGAAATGGCGATGGCCATGGCAACAGAGACCGATCAGCCAATCGCCTTGCGAGGTTTTGGTCACCCGTTATGTGTTAGTATCTGTTTGCGTCCGGCTAGCAGGAAAGGAAGGCAATGGCACTACTTGCACTATCCAGTGTCTTTTAACGAAACTAAACAATCGAAGGCTTCCCCGCACACAACAACCGAAACCGAGGTGCGGAGTCTCGTTGTTACCGCTTCCTCCGTTTCGCGAGGTCAGGTCAGCGACAAAGACCTCGGAGACTGCAGTCCGCGCATTGTTGCCTTACAGCCGCCAAGAACCCGACGAATCTAGCTCCTGTCGGAGATCGCCCCCGACTGCGTGCCGAACTGCCTCAAGGGGTAAAGACGACAGAGAGAGAGAGAGCTTCTGCTCATTTTGAACTGGCCACCATAAAAGGGAAGAGCCGAGGTGGGCAGCAGAAGGGGGCTCGCCGAAGGCTGGGTGGCGGGGGACGGGGCGAGGGCGTAAGCAAGCAGTCGCACGTGCGGGCAATTTGCACTGGACAAACACGAAGCTGCCAGCTTTCCAACCGCGATACGGAATCGGCGGCGGAGATACTCGAGGCCACGTACGTTCGGGCCGCTAAGAAAACAACGCCGGCGCTTTGTTGGCCAGTCAGTGAGCCGCTCTGCTGCAGTCCAGCGGAGGCGGCCTTTTTTTGGAGAAAGCCACCAGTCTGCCGCGCCGGTGAAAATGAACGAACAGCGGAGTTCGAGAAGAACCTGAAACTCTCCATGTGCACAAAAAAACGCATCGTTAAAAAAAAAAATCATAAAAACAAATAGCGCAATATTTACGTGGGAACGCCCAATTTAGGTTGAGGTACGCCCCTCCTTGCCCCGCTACAGGCCCAGTCCACTTGTACTAAATTGGCTCGGCTGCTTGACCACACACTCCACGCAAGCCTGATGCCTCCCTGTCTCCCCCTCTAAAACGCACTTACGGTGCACTTAGTATGCCGTTTTTCACCGTCTAGTACTCCTGCGAGCAACTGCAGCGCTCATCTCGGTGGTAAATCGAGCAAATCGCTGTAATTTAATTACTTTTTCGACTAATTTCTAATTGCAATTCGATTTCGTTCGCTTAAAAGTAATAATAATAATAATAATAATAATAATGTTATTTATTCACTTTATAAATACATATAAATAATGCTGGCCTACAAAAGCAGTATCCTGCTTGTGCGTAGGACCAGACAATCCAGCGAAATACATACCAATGCAGCATAATACAAAGAATTAAACGAATGTGTAATGTGGCCATCAATACCAACATTATTACAAAACAGAGACCAAATTCGGCACACAACAAAATGAACACAATCATTAAAATCATTATGAGGCAAGATTTCAGGGATGAGAGGAAAGCAGTGTTTATGCAGGTAATGAGAAAAACCAATTTTTTATTTCTGTTTTCAGTACTTTTCTCGAATTTATTTTCATTAAAAACTCAGTGAGCTCATTAAATCAAGTGGGAATAAAATGATTGCTGCACCTTTTTTGGTATCGCGTTTAAATTCTGGGGATTTCAAAACCTTTCTTTACGCTTAGGTCCCCAGGCTTGTCCACTGGAACCTTGAATGTAGAATCGTAGAAATAATTTATCAACGTAACATATCTATGAAATTTTTAAAAAAAATGTGGAGCTTTTATGCTTTATCTTTCATATCTAATGTTCCGAACGGAGTTCCGTATGTAATGTTTTTCACCATATGTTTTAAAATACTGTCTATTTCATTTGTCTTGTATGGAGAACAGTGCCCATATAAAGTGATTCCATATCGTAGAATTGACTCAGATAGCGACCTGTACACCAGTAATCTTATCTTTACGCTGCACAAGCTTCTTATTCTCTACAAATATGCTGAAACGGCACGTAGTCTTTTAGTCACGAATTCCACATGTTGATTCCATGATAAATGTTCGTCCACGTATAATCCTAGATATTTTACACAATTATCGTATGGCAAAGGTTTACAAGTACAATTATTACACGGTGTCGAATGAAGTAAAAATCTAGGTGACATATCAACACGTTTATGAGAATTTCGGAAACACAGTAACTTAGTTTTGGCAAAATTTACTGAAATGGCATTTGAATTAAACCAACCTATTAGTGCATCTATATCTCTTTGGAAAACTAAAACAGCATCATCATAGTTTTCATAGGATAAAACCAGGGATGGGTAGTATTTCAAATACAAGTATTTGAAATACGTATTTCAAATACTTTATTTTGCATTTGTATTTAATTACAAATTGGGCAATGTATTTGACGTGTGTATTTAAATACTAAAACATGGGTATTTCAAATACACTTGTAATTAAATACAATTCTGTGGGTGAAAATACATTCCTCAAATTTATTGTCACTGTCCAGAGCAGGAAGAAAACTATGTTCTGCACCAAATGCAGTGTCTCAATCAAGCACAAGCGTTTAGTGACTTTGTGATCACGGTGCTAGTCCAGGGCAAGAATAGTGACGAAATCGACGTTCACAGGCAGGCTGGCTAAATAAGTGCCGGTGACAACTTGTGACGCTTTCCAGCCTGATTCCCATCCATATTCTTACCTGGAAGATTCTAAATGCGCGGGTCGTCCAGATTTTCATAACTGGTGCGATTTGCAATAATAAAGAATTCTCTAGCTAGTGCTGCGCGTCTTGGTTCTTTGTTGTTCTATACCAAAATGTAATCGACAAAAAAAGCTGCTTGAAGCTCTGTACTTTTTTCACCTATTACGTCCAAGCGGATTACATTTTTTTGTGATTATATTTCTATCACATTATTAGAGCCTCGCACACTAACTCCCAAGCGTGTGACGCAAAATTAAAATGAAATAACCAGAAACCCGTTGCAGGTGCCCTGAAGTCGCTGACGCAAATTTTGAGGAATGTATTTGGAAAAGTATTTGGAGGAGACCAAATACATTTGGTTGTATTTGTATCTTGTACTTAAGTGCTCTTTTTTTTTGGAAATGTAATTAGATTTGTAATTAAATACATTTTTGACGAAGTATTTTGTATTTGTATTTCAATACATATTTACATGTATTTTGCCCATCCCTGGGTAAAACTAGCACCGTATCGTCAGCATACTGAAATAGCTTAGCTTGTAGTGGTAGAATACCCAAATCGTTTATGTGAACGTTAAATAAAATTTGTCCCTGCTACCTT